CTCCATTATACCTGAATGTGCCGCGCTAAACGATGTTATCAAGGAAAAGTGTCCTGCGTGGTGAAAATGCTCGACGTTTGAAGGCAGTGCTCATGGTCAAGAGTTAGTGCGGTGAGGCAATAGGGTTCAAAGGCGTAAGGAGCCTTGAATACAGAAAACGTTCCGGTTTTTTGCAGACTGCAGATAACAAACACGAAAATGACCAACCATTAGAACTTCCATATCTTGACATCCGATGTATGAGACTATGCTACGGGCTGCTACCGCACAGAGGGCTCAGACGAAAGACCTCGGTGACCAGCACCAACTACAAGACATGCACATAAGACCGGCAAGAAAGACACTTCCCAGCGACATCAGGGCAGTCATTCCGGCTCCCACATCCACCACCCGACGCCCGGTGACGCACCGAGGGCTGGCCGAAATCTAGGCCGAAAGGTTTCAATGACCCGTAACGACCATAACATAACGTAACAGCCTCCATAGCCGTTGGTGCTCAAATAAACTACGTTACACTAAGTTACCTGGCACAGGACAACGATCTCTAAAGCAACGACAAGCCATCTATTTCCACACATGTCTACATACCTCACTTGAAAAACGCCCCTTAAATCATGCCCCAGATGTCAAAAAAATGTCATCAATATATTGCATGTACAACATTTGTCCAAGAGCCCGCGAAAAGATTGCTCAAGACAATGCGTAAATGTTACAGTAGGAGTGGTACACAAAAGTTACTCATCGCCTCGCCTTTCCTCTGCTTTCCGAGCCTCCGACGCGCACCAGGTGAGCATTGTACACATGAGCTGGCAGTTTTGCACCGCCAACTGCGCTGATATCACGTAAACATATGCTAGCAATTTGCGTCCCCTAGATTCATCACCTTCTTTGATGTCTTGTTTTGTGAGGCCCCTGGCCTCTTTCCCCGGCGTTGACCTGGATCCCCTAATGTTGGCTTGCCCCCTCTACATTTTTGGCTGGAATATTACGAAGGCGCGGGAAAAAATTGACCAGCACACAATGCTTACGTTCTTCTCATATTGCTAGCTGGCCATAGCTGCTGTGTTTCTCAAATTAAGGAATTTCGAATCGACAGTTCCAAAACTAAACTGTCGCTTTTCAAACCAAAGTGGGCCAAACAACGAATAAACGCGATACAACGCGAAATGAAAGAAGTTGAAACGACTGCACTTGACGAGGTGTTAAACTGAATCCGTTTAAAAGCATACATTTCAGAGAGGTTAGGTTATTGAGCCCTCCCAACCATTTACAAAAATACACCCTCCTCAAAGAGCATTGATACAGCCGTGGTGAAGACGGTATTACGTGAGGAACTATGTCAGGGGACAGGCTTTTCACTCTACTAAGACAAGGCTCTATTTTAGGAACGTAGGCAAGGCGTAACAAACAGCCGTTTCTGCGCTGTGCTTGAATGGTGTTTGTTATTCATGTTCTTTTCGTAAGCTTTCATGCTTATTTTGCAGGTTTTCTCCGGTGGCGTTCGAGACCGGTTTAATGAGAGCCTGGGGGACACACGCTTTCGGATAGGGTTTGTAACAACGCGGGAACACGTAGGAAAGCTAAACGCCAACGTACCATGCTGCAGCAAACGCCAGCTCCAAGTAAGCAATACAACACGGACCTCAGTATAATAGAACCGCTGCACATCCGTACATCCCGAACATTTGCAGATGGCTTATGCAGATGGCTCAACACACAAACGTTGATTTGTGACGTGATTTAAGCGGCGTTTTCTGCTAATGACGTTTAGAAGTCCTCGAGTCGTTTTGATAATGAACATTATTATTCTCAGGAAAATTTTTTAGGAAAAGATCGTGATAACTGATACTATGCAGCAAGCTATTTTTCAACCTTTCTTCGGTATGGTATGGGTCATGGTAACATTCTGGCCGAGCCAGCTGTGTTTTGGGTAGCCCTTACTCAGCGCCGGGCGTCGATTGGTGCGTTGCGGGAGCCCGAATGACTGTCAAGGTGTCCTAAAGAAAGTGTACTTTCAACCTCTGACATGTTTGGCATCATCGACACCTTTTATAAGGAGATTTGACGTGCATTCGCGAAGCAGCCCGCTGTTATGCATGTGTGTCGAACAAATTCTCTTAAAAGTTTGTGTGTGGGTGAGTCAGGGACGCTAAGCGGGCCGTGTCCCCCTACCTGGGCCAAAAGGTCTTCTCTAAGTACCGGGAAATTTCGCAGGAACTTTGCGAGAATTCACGGGATTTTGAAGAAAACATGACACCACCCTTCCCCCCCCCCCCCCCTGCAAAACATTTGGCCTGCGCGACTGAACCCAGCTGTAGGTGAACCCGCGCCCCCCCCCCCCCCCCCCCGACTACGGCCGGCCTGGCTGAGCTGACTTACATCAGGTGACCGCTGGCAGTGATGAGGCCCGTGAGAGGTCAGATCGCCGCCTGAAGTCCAGCCCTTCCACCTGACAGCGGGCAAGGTCCGCACACCGAGCCTGCAGCTCTACGCGCAGTGGCTGTGTGGTGGAAAGGACAACGCAGATAGATGGTTCGAGCTATCACATGGCAGCCAAGGGTGTTTTTGAAAGGGTGTGGATAATGACGCGGTGATGATGCGAAGCTCGGAGGTGAACAGTGCTTCCAAGCCGCTTGGCCACCGGCCTCTTCCGGTCAGTCCCACTGCGTCCCTTCCTAAGTTTAAGTTTTTAGGTTTGAGTTTGCTCGAGGCTGCGCCCTCAGCTTCAACAGATGCTGTAGCTGGAGCTGCGAGGGGCAAGATGGCCTCCAATCCAAATCTTTGAAGTAGGTACGGCAATAAGTCAGCCTGGCAAGAAGCACAGCTGTCCTCTTCCTTCACTAAGTAAGCCTGTCCGCATACGTGGTTACCTAGGAGGCTTCTCACACGGTGTTCTCAAGACAAAGATAAACAGAGGGTGCTTTCAATATGAATTCGACACGACTTGTAAGTACACACTTTTTGGAAACCGGAATCCTGGGGTGAAAAACATGGACATCCCGGGATTATAAACGTGTGCATCCCGGGACTAAAAACGTGTGCATCCCGGGATTTAAAGCATGTGTATCTAGGGATCTGGGCACTCCGATCTAGTGATTGACGTCCCTAGTATCGCACCCACATGCGTTTTCGAACTCGACTGTGATTACCACGCGCACCAAGACCGGGTTTACGTGCGTTGTCGTATTACGAGCTTATTCCCTGCATGACTTTGATTTTTGTCCTTCGCTGTATGCAGCTCGTCTCTGCTGAGCTTCTATCGTCGTGCTGCACTTCTCTGCCCCCGAGATGACATATCCTGGCAATGCTAGGGTATGCCAACTATCTACAATGCTCATTTACGCACCGTTTAATTTGCGGTTGCACCTCATCAAATGACAAGGTTGAAGGCGTTTCATGAACGAAGCGATAAGCTACATGTATTAAGTTACACATCCAACTGCAGAGCGGGCCGCCGAGCCAGGACTACACCATGACACGCCACTCCGACATGCCACCGACACGAAGCCCTAATTACCCTCCAGTCGCACGCCAACTAATGCCTTCCACAGCAACCCAGAATCGACGCAACTACCGCCGTCCGATTCGGTCGACACGGCCCCCGTATCGGTTCGGGATGATTCACACGGAGCCGCAGCGCCCGCTCCCACGTCAGGGCGCCGACCCACTGGACCGCCGCCGGAGCCGGCAGCGCGGGCGCCGCCGCGGGTCACCGGGCACGGCACATACCTGCGGCCGCTCCCCTCGACCCGCGAAACCGAAGCCGGCGCGGCGACCTCGCGCCGATATCGATGTCTCTGCGGCAATGTCGGCGCCTTTTTGCCGCGGCACGGTGGCCGCCGGCAGCAGCGCAGGCCTCTGCTTCTTGCGGCTGGAGGGGGCGGCAAAAACAGGCGCGGCTTCTGTATCGGCTGACGCGGTCCCGTCGCCGGCAGCAGGCCCCGTCGCCGGTAATAAGGCCCGTCGCTGGTAACAGTCCCCGCCGCCGGTAGCAGGCCCATCGCCGATGGCAGGTCCCGTCACCGGTAGCAGTCCCCGTCGCCGGTAACAGGCCGCGTCGCCGGTAACAGGGCCCATCGCCGGTGGCAGGTCCCGTCACCGGTAGCAGTCCCCGTCACCGGTAACAGGCCGCGTCGCCGGCAACAAGGCCCATAGCCGGTGGCAGGTCCCGTCACCGGTAACAGGGCCCATCGCCGGTGGCAGGTCCCGTCGCCGGCAACAAGGCCCATAGCCGGTGGCAGGTCCCGTCGCCGGTAACAGGGTCCATCGCCGGTGGCAGGTCCCGTCGCCGGTAACAGGCCGCGTCGCCGGCAATAGGTCCCGTCGCCGATAACAGGGCCCATCGCTGGTGGTAGGTCCCGTCACCGGTAACAGTCCCCGTCGCCGGTAACAGGGCACATCGCCGGTGGCAGGTCCCGTCACCGGTAACAGGCAGGTCACGTCCCCGGCTGACCTTTGGCCCCACGCGTCCGTGCGGTCTGTATGTTGTGCGGGTTCTCGCGGTGCCTGCGGAGATGGCGCGCCTGACCGTGTATTGCAAGAGACGTAGAAGCACGCGGTGTTTCTTAGCCGCGAGCTGCTTGTACATCGCTCCGCCGTGGAGGCGTCTTTCTGTCTGAAACGGCGCTGCTTCTCACCACCATTGGCCTGGCGCCCATCTGCAGTGTCCCAACCGCGCTCCGGTGGCGCCTCCCACATAACACGACCACGATCCAGACTGCGGTGCATTTCTGACACACAAAGCAGCCCACATCCGCCTGCCGGTCCCCGCAAAACACAGCCAGCCCGTCCCATCAGAGGGCGGGCGTCGGCGGCCGGCCGCTGCACGCGCCGGACACATCCCCGGCCGCGCCCCCGCAGAGCCGAGCCCGGCACCGACACTCGGCCCAGCATCATCAGCGTTAGCCCAGCACCGGCTCGGCACCGGCGCCCTGGTCGTAGCACGCCCCGTTCGGCGCCGGCGCTCGGGTCAGCCTCAGCAGCAGCAGCGGCCCGCTCACGGTCAGCTCAGCTCAGCTCAGCACCAGCGCGTGCAGGCGGCTGGCGGTCAGCACCAGCAGGAAGCGGGCGGCGGCGGCCACGCCCAGGATGGGGTCCGAGTCCTCCAGACTGACCACCTGCTGGCGCGACACCTGGCGGCGGGCGGTGGTGGGTCAGAGTACCGTCGCGGACACGTGTCACGGACCGGCTCATCCCTCAGGTGGCCGTCATGTGACAGTGAGCTGAGGGCCGGTCGTACTGAGGCCAAACTATGCTCACATGGGGGTCAAACCCACACCGGACGTCAAGTGACAGACCACACAGCCGGCTGTCACACAGGGACTGAGTCCTCAGCTGGAGCCAGTTGACTTTCGAACAACTGTCAATGTCAGACAAGCCCCGGTACGCTTCAGACTGACTGACAGATGGAGACCATGTCTCTTCGCTATCGAACTCAAAATAAACGGGCCCATGGTTGAGTACAGACGCGAAACACCAAGACAGAGCCACCTATCGGTGAGAATCAAAACCGAAGTTACATGCGTTGCTCACCTCGGTAATTCGCTGCCCTGACCGGCGATTGCGCAGTTCTCCACAGACGGGCGACGGCTGGTGGTAGATGTACACGTGACGGGACGTCTCGCAGATCACCGCGTATGACATGTCTGAAAAGTCATCCAACGGTCATCCGCACGCATGGCACAAGACAACTATTCGCTCGACGTGGACGCGTCCAGCAGAAACATATTCCAAAAAAACTGCCGAGTGTGTCCGACAGCAAACCCGGACACCCGGACATTAAGGCCTTCCCTTAGGCCTATGCAAGTCTACACTAAATGCATAAGCTGGGCACACACACACGCACGCGTTGTGTACAGCACCAGCTACACCACGTCCCCCGCAAAGCGCACTGACCTGGGGCGCACGTGAGGAACTTGCGCTGCTGTTTGGAGGCCTGCACGTATCCGAAGGCGTTCAGCGTGCCGACGTGGTCACAATGCCATCTGCCGATCATATTTAAACAAGGTATCGGTCCAATGCACAGCAAGGGAACCCGATAGGGAACTCGTCGTGCTTATCTGTCCACAAGCATACGCTGTGTAAACGGCAAATGCCCGGACTGCATCAAAGTTCAAAACGCCATGCACACGGTGAACAAAATAATATCTGCATGGCATGGCAGGCGGGCACAACGGCAGACTCGGTGGCATGTAGCTAGACTTACACCACGTAAGAACGTGGACCGACCGATGAGCCTACACATGTAACGTGTGGCCAGCCACCGCGCCCTCCCCCCCCCCCCCCCCCCTCCCCGGACAGCGGCCCGCCCGCGCGGCGCGGCGCCGCCACTGACCGTCCAGCCCTGGCACGGGGCTGCCAGCGCAGGGCGCCGCCACTGACCGTCCGTCCCGGGCGCGAGGCTGCCAGAGCAGGGCGCCGCCACTGACCGTCCCGCCCTGGCGCGAGGCTGCCAGAGCAGGGCGCCGCCACTGACCGTCCGTCCCGGGCGCGAGGCTGCCAGAGCAGGGCGCCGCCACTGACCGTCCCGCCCTGGCGCGAGGCTGCCAGAGCAGGGCGCCGCCACTGACCGTCCGTCCCGGGCGCGAGGCTGCCAGAGCAGGGCGCCGCCACTGACCGTCCGTCCCGGGAGCGAGGCTGCCAGAGCAGGGCGTCCACGTCGTGTCGCACGCAGAGCGCCGGGGGCTCGGCGGCCGCCAGCCGGGCCGTCAGCACGTACTGGTGACTGTCCAGGCTGGTCTGCGGGCGCGGGGAGCTCGTGGGTTATCAGGTCGGGAGCAGATCCCGTGCCATGTTCAGACCCGGTGGGTAGAGGTGCATGCACTAAACGCGTTTCGATTGGCAACACGTGAGCCGCCGCTCTGGGACCGATCACAGCCATCACGGTTTCTCGTAACACACTGCGCGTTCGTGATCAAGCTGCGTACCCCGCCGTCTGTTGGGCACAACAGAACTGTGGAATCACTCGAGGTGGTCCTGACTTCTTGCAAATGACTGCATTGCCTCCCACTCCCCACGTTCTGCCAAGACTTCAAAGCGGAACTGCTACATCCCCGTCCCGGCTGGAGGGCGTCATCGCCGACGGCGGGCCCCGGCGAGCGACAGCTGGCGCCGGCCGCAGCCGGTGCCGCTCGCACCTGATGAGTGGGGGCGTGCGTGTCGCCATCCAGCCGCAGCAGGGCGGCGCTCGCCTCCGGGAAGTCGTCGCAGTCCTCCAGTTCCGCCACGTTGTAGGCGTCGGCCGCGTCCGGCTTGGGGTTCTGTCGACCAGGCGACGGGGGTCGGCATAGGCGGGGGGTCGACACGGGCGGGGGGCCGGCACGGGGGAGATGACTGCCTGGGCGGGGTGTCGGCACGGATGGGGTGTCAGCACAGGCGGGGTGTTGGCGCGGGCGAGATGCCAGCCTGGGCGGGGCGTCGGCACGGATGGTGTGTCAGCGCAGGCGGAATGTCGGCACGGGCGGAATGTCGGCACGGGCGGAATGTCAGTCTGGGAATGCCTGACAGCTTACACATACATCCACACCCTGCGAACTATGTCCGCGACGCCCATACTCCGCATTCGTAGCATCTCAGTCAAAACCCAATTTTTCGCCAGCACATACAAATTTTACCAGTGCAATAGCCCATCACATCATACCTACCGACAGACCACCTTCACAACATCGCACCATAGTACGGCAGGGGGCGATTCCGTCGCCACCGTATCCAGTGTCTTCACGCCAGGCTAAAATCCAACTGCTTCCATACTGCTGGATCGAAACCGCTAAGCACCCGGACGGCACGGAGCTGCGCGACCGTCACTGTCCCGCCCTCACCTCGGCGTCGGAGGTGAGATGGGCCAGCCGCTGCGCCATTTCGCCTGCCAGCTCGGGGTCGACTATCTGCTCGCCGCGGCCGTCGCCCGGCAGCAGCTCCGGCCACACCTGACCCCGCTCCACCTTGGCCAGCACCACCTCCAGTCTGGCGGAGGTGAGAAGCGCGGTCACGGGCAGACCGGTGGTGGACGGGCCGCGGGCGTCGCTGGCGTCAGCGGTCGGGGAGCGGGACGGGCCGCGGGCGTCGCTGGCGTCAGCGGTCGGGGGAGCGGGACGGGCCGCGGGCGTCGCTGGCGTCAGTGGTCGGGGAAGCGGGACGGGCCGCGGGCGGTGCTGGCGTCGGCGGTCGGGGAAGCGGGATGGGCCGCGGGCGTCGCTGGCGTCGGCGGTCGGGGAGCGGGACGGGCCACGGGCGGCGCTGGCGTCGGCGGTCGGGGAACTGGAGGGGCCGCGGGTGGTGCTGGCGTCGGCGGTCAGCGGGGGAGGGGGGGGGGGGGGGCTGAATGGGCCGCGGGCGGTGCTGGCGTCAGTGGTCGGGGGAGCGGGACGGGCCGCGGGCGGTGCCGGCGTCAGTGGTCGGGGAGCAGGACGGGCCACGGGCGGTGCTGGCGGCGGCGGTCGTAGGCCGTTGTCAGTGTCAGGGTGTTCGCGGTAGTGACCACTGGAAGAGGATGTTCAGTGTTCGCTTTGTTCTTCACATGGAAAGCATCTTTGGGACCAGCGGTCGTATCACCGATGGCATCCGTATGGCCATCGGCCCTGGATTGCTGCAGAAACCAACCTTCGTCTCCCGAACAGTGTCAGGGGGCGGGGGGGGGGGGGGGGGGGGGTGATCCAAAACATCGGACTGGGACGGAAAACCTGTCAACAGATGCCGTGCTGGGAATAACAATTGGCGTTATAGAGGACAATGGAAGACCCGCTCACTGCCATCCTTCGCGGACATAAGGTCAGCATTCGCCGCAGCAAAGCCCTGTGGGTGGTCATTGCGAGCATGGCAGGGTCCAGTTACCACGAGCGTCGGCCTCGAGCCTGCCACAGGCCACCGTCCCGCAGAGTACATTGTGACGAGCTGCTGTGCGCTATAACACGCACGTCACGCCTGCTGCCCTGCCGTCATCCCCGTCATCACCACGGACGTCACCTGCCGTCGTCGTTGGTCCAGGTGCTCTCGTCCAGCCGGATGGCGGCGGCCAGGGTGCCCCGCAGCAGGGTGGTGCCTCCGGCCGTCACCGTCAGCACGTGCGGCTCCAGCACCACCCGCACCGTCTCACCGTCGCCGCCGCCGCCGCCGCCAGCGCCGGCCGACAGCTGCACCGTGACGTCATCAGCCGTCTGGCTCCACACGTAGAGCGGTGCTGACGGCGGCGCTGGTGGCACACGGCGGGTATGACCACAGGCTGGGATACAGTGCTGTGTTCAGAGCCGAGATTCGCGTGCGACCTTCAGAACCGAGGGGAACGTTCAGCGTTCGGAACAGGGAAGCCTGAAGCGATCCAGCTGGTCGTTCTTATGCATACAAAAATCATCCATGTGGATAGTGCTATCACCCATGGTTAGTTCAAATTTTTCCCGATACCACATCTTCATCCAAAAACAGCCCCATCATCGGATCAGCAGATCCTCACCTGACGAACGGTGACACAGGTATGACCACCTCGCCTCAACTGAATGCACGAACAACATTTAACCAACCTCTCCAAGCACTCCCTCTCCACATGTGGAGCCTGACCACATCAAGGGAGGCCTTTACCTGCGGAGCCTGACCTCACCAGAGGAGGTCTTCACCTGTGGAGCTGGACCTCGCCAAGGGAGATCTCCACCCGCAGTCTGACCTCACCAAGGGAGGTCTCCACCTGCGGAGCCTGACCTCTTCAGAGGAGGTCTTCACCTGCGGAGCCTGACCTCACCAAGGGAGGTCTTCGGCACCAAGCCTGGCCTCACCAAGGGAGCCTTTACCTGCGGGGCCTGGCCTCACCAAGGGAGGTCTCCACCCGCAGTCTGACCTCACCAAGGAGGTCTCCACCCGCAGTCTGACCTCACCAAGGGAGGTCTCCACCCGCAGTCTGACCTCACCAAGGGAGGTCTCCACCCGCAGTCTGACCTCACCAAGGGAGGTCTCCACCTGCAGAGTCCGACCTCACCAAAGGAGGACCGGCACCAGACGCGACCCCCGACCCCTGACGACAGGCCTGCCCTTACCTGCGGCTTCGGCCGGGGTCGGGGCCGGCGCCGGCGCCACCGGCCGCTCCGTGTCGCGTATGAAGGCGGCCGGCCGGTCCGCGGCCACACACAGCGCCTGGCCCGCCGCGTCCAGCGCCGCGTAGTGGACGGTGCTGGCAGTGGCCGCCTGACGCAGCCGCTCCAGCCGCCAGGCGGCGCCACCTGCGGGCCGGAGGCTGCGGTAGAGGCGGGCAGGGTGGCGGGAGCGTGCGCGCTGGACATGGGCATTAGGAGCGAGGTGTCGGGTCAGGTCTGATGCCACGCTCAGACAGCGAGGAGATGAAAGCGCGGGTGCGCACCGAGCCCACTCGTAATGGAGTGGCTGATGCAAGTATGCCTCATACATGTCACAGCTATTCTTACGGATACTGTGCCATTTACTCACTAACTTAGCCAATTACACACTCCTTGGTGCTAGACAGCAAGTGAGGACCATTGATGCATTCAATCAGCCACCTTCTCAAACACATTCCAGCACCTATCGCTGTGGATATTTAACTTTTATCCAGCTCCACATACTGAGCCTCGCCCTCACCCAGCCACACGAAACAGTGCACGATGCACACTCACTCACTCACACTCTCACCCAGCACAGCAACCGTGCACGCCCCTCGGTCCGATGCCGCCGCCCGGCACCCACCCTTAACGAACGTGAACCAGGTGAGCAGGTTGACGAAACGCGCCGTCGTCGCTGTGTTGCTCCCGCCACTCGGGCACGGCGCTACCCTCGGCCACGTGACCGGCCAGCACGTGGAGTCGGCCGGCCGCGTCCAGCACCGAGTGCTGCAGCACGAAGCCACGGCCCTCCAGCAGCGAGTCGCTGAACTGGATCTGTCAACGAGACGGCCGGCGTCAGGGAAGGGGCCTGGGCAATCGAGACTGCGATCCCGAGACGCCGGGGTCAGGGAAGGGGCGACGGCAGTCGGGACTGCGACCCGAGAGGCCCGGCTGAGGGAAGATGCTTTTGGTAGTCGGGACGGCGACCCGAGACGCCGGGGTCAGGGAAGGGGCGACGGCAGTCGGGACTGCGACCCGAGAGGCCCGGCTGAAGATGGCAACGCCGAATTATGCTGACCAGTGATGCTGGACACATGCCGGTGTCGGTAAGGTCGGAGTTCTACGCTGATGCCGGATTGTAGCGCTTCCGTTGTGGCCGGCAAAAAAACAACCTACTACGAACGAAGAGGAGGTTTTTTGCCTATATTTTGTTCTGCTGTTTGACCATGCTGCAGAAGGGGAGCATTGGCTTATTTGACCATGCTGCAGAGGAGGGGTATTCGCTTATTTGACCATGCCCAGAAGAGGAGCATTGGCTGTCAGAAGCCACAGAAGTGTGTCGCCATCGGCTCGTCCGTTACCGGACTAGCAGCTACTGCTAACAACCTGTCAGCCTTTTGTTGCATCATTTTCACCTAGAGAGCCTCAAATAATAGCAATAGTCCCAAAAGCATCACACACTGTCCACCGCGCACAGTGACAAAACGACAATAGCGGTCATGCAACATACCAGCAGTCCTGTGACATGTCACAGGCAAACCCCAGCCACGAGGCCCCGGCGGCGGGGCTGGGTCGGCCGGCGTACCTGCCAGGGCTGGGACAGGGCGCGGTCACCGGTGTCCACCAGGTGGAGCCGGCCCCGGCCGTCCGACACGAGCGCCAGCCGGTCGGAGGCGAAGCTCAACGATGGGTGCGTCCGGCTCCGGGCGCGGCGACTCGCTGGCGGGCAGCTGCAGCACCGGCACGGAGCGCACCGCCGCCGGCAGCGCCTGGCGGCAGTCGCGCGCAGCTGTCAGGTACAGATGGGAGCTGTTGGTGGTGGGGCTGACATGCTGATGGTGGGTGGGTCTTACAAGATGGTGCTGTGTGGAGCCTGACACTGCTGCTGATGAGGGGGGACAATGACAGGACAGGAGTCTGGGACATGATACCTGGCACTGCTGCTGATCCAGCTGGCCTCTGCCATGAGGGCAGACAGGGCAGAGGTGGGTGGGAGCTGGGAAAACTATATCATGAGAAGTGGAAGCTCTTGCAAATGAGGAAACACTATCAGACCATCAGACTATCTATCAGGGAGACTATCAGACAGGAGACTATGAGAAAGTACTGAGCCCATAAGCACCAAGCCCACAAGCCCAAGCCCAAGTGAAAGCACATATTCTAAGCTGTCTGCATGCTGCAGATTGGCCCATGGAAACAATGTGTTGGCAGCATGGGACCAGTGAAGAAAAAACATTGGATAGTGGTCCTGCAGATGGCAAACACATGACAACACAGGGATTTGAAATGAAGGGAGACTGATGAAACTTATATTCATGGAGTTAGCCATAAAGTAAAACACTGACAATGACATTGTAGCCCTGGGTTCATTAACATCTTAGACCATGGCCACAGCTTTGTTTACATTTGCTTTGTTTACATATCCTAACTGCACTGGCCAATGATCTGTGGGATTCCAGAGCTGCTCTATCAACACCAGATCAAATAAATCACATACTACTGAAAATTGATTATTTGTACAGCAGTGCAAAATGGGACACAATGTCCTTCACAGATCCTTTGATACTTACTGGCCCTATCCCAACCTGACAACACTTCCAGTTGCAGAGAAGTAGAAGCTCTGGTCAGGGGCCCATGGGTCTGGCCACAAATGGTTGTGGAGAGCATATAGCCGCACTTGCTGGTAGGAATAATTGCTGGAGGATTCCTGGAGCTTGTAGAACCCCTGAAAATAATAAAACCAGCTATGATTATATATATATATATATATACACACACACACACACACATATATATATATATATATATATATATATATATATGTATATAGCTTACTTGTTAAAATTGCTAACTTTTAACCAACATGACAAATCTAGGAAAAATCATTGGGGCTTTACACATCAATGTTCAACAAGGCTATTTTGGGACAGACACATTCATTAGTGTGTCATGTAGCATGCATTGATGGCGTGACAGCAGCCTCAACCCAATGCCTACAGGTCCAGAGTCAAACCCCTAACCACTATATCATCACTGTCCCCAACATAAAAGTTTACTGTGTGCAGCTGCGTGATTCAAAATTGCAAGTTGGCAACCAGCTAGGGTCAAGCAATTCAAAGCAATGTGAGGCAGGGGTAACAATCAAGACTAACAAACCATGCCAGGCATGCCAGGCCAGAAAATGGCTTGTAAATGAGTGACAATCAAGTAAATGCAGGTCAGTCAATCCCAAAACCAGCACATCAGAATATATTAAACCACACACACTAACCTTCTTCAACATGCTTGGAATGAATAGCAATCTTGTCTAAATTTAATTTATAGCCTTCAAAATTCGGGTCTAACAGATCCCTGTTCGGCTTCAGAACGAAGGATTCGGTCTCCATTGCTTTCCTGATGTCCAGCGCACGATCAAATGCAGGTTGAACTGAAGACGCGTGTCACAGTATCATTCATGAAAATCGCGCCAGAAAACGGGAAGACAAATCTCAAGCTGCTTGAGCGCGGCTGGACCGCAATGTACAGCGCCCCGCCGCGCGAAAAGCAGTCGAAGAGTGTGATGTGGCGTCCCTCATTTACGGCTATCTGCGCCACTTTGGAGCAAATATGTTTTTGCGCGGGCCTATTTGAGCACCAAAAAAAGCAAAAAAAAATATGCAAAAAATGCAAAAGCAACTGTTCAGTTCGCATTGAAAACCTGAGGCTGAAATGACCCCTATTGCGTATAAATGTGGTCCACAGTTCAACGTGGGGACCACCACAACCGGAGCAGTATGGATCAACGGTAGGGAGGCAGGTAGCTAGTGAGTGCTTATAGTGGGAAGCGTCAACATTCCGGCCAGTCAGGCAGGCCTCTATTTTGAAGCTCATTTTATCCATGGATTAACTTATGGTCAGGTAGTACCAGCATTTCGCGCAATATAGCAATGGTTGTGGACCTCAGTCCAGTGGTGCAGGCAGGGAGCACAGTGAGCATATGCCCCCCCCCCCCCCTCCCCCTATAAGGATCGGAGGGGTCCTTCGAAACCCGCGGGACTTCCAATTAAG